CAAAGTATTTAGGTTGGAATGATCTATAGATCGATCAATAGTCGATGTTCACTTTATCGTTCTTTGCCTCGCGATTCAACTCGTCACGGTTCTTTCATAGAGGGAACTTTTTTCCTCGTTTCTTTTTCTTTCTTCGTCGGAGATAGCAAAGGATCTTTTCTCTAACTAATTATTAGAATTATTACGTAAACTCGCGCGCGTTTTCTAGGTTAACGTGAATGGTTAATGTATTCCTGACGGAAGAAATGGATACGCGGCGTATTCGAGGGAACGTCAAGGTTCATAGAAAAGACGGACGTCTGAAGAGGCAGAAGAAACCACGGTGTTCCTTTTTCCTTCGTCTCTCTACCGGCAAGCCGATTCACCGCGGCGACACGCGGTTTCTGTTCGAGTCGCTTTTACATGATAAATTATGCCCGATTTTTTCCGTATCAATCCCTAAGATACAACGCAAGAGGTAGTCTTTTGTTCCATCGTGTGTCTGTGTGTAGGTGGCGAAACTTGTGGGAGACGAAACATCGAAGAAGATGAAGAAAAGTCAAAGGGATTCTCGCCGGATCTCGCCTTCGATGTTACGCTCGTTCTCGTTTTAAATTTCATTCGAATCATTCAAGTTATCTTAACTGAAACAACTTGACATCGTTTTACCGCTGTGAACCCGTTACTTATGTGACTGGGAACATCCTTTCGAGTTTCTATTCTTCTTCGCGTTAATCTTTAATTAATCGCGTTAATAAATTTCTATTGGCCGGTTGAAGTGAAATTTGACAGATAGCAAATGAAAAATATAAATGTACCGTATGGATTTTCTGATTTTCATGCTACTTGATGTATGTCGAGGGATACATTTTAATACGAAATATGCGGAAAATAGAAAAAGAAATAGGTGATACATCTACTGGCCTTTATAAAAGAATCAACAACGTAATTAACACTACGACAGTTATTTAGGACAATGGTAAAAATATGTATTTAATCTCAAATTCAAATAAGAAGTGGTCTTCTCATCGTTTCGCGTTTCGTTCATTAGAAAAGACGCTTACAGAGATAGAAAACTTGTGGGGTTAGAATTATTTTTGAATTAAATTTCAATTAGGCATAGGTTAAGTGTAATCGCCGAATTATCAAATCTAACATTTCGTGTTTTAGTTTCATCTACTCTGTCCGTGATACCAGCCAAGTTTCATCTTCGTCGCTAACTGCCACTCGAAACAACATCCGGTATTTGAATCTAACGAATTCAATGATTCTAGGTCGTTCGCTAAATTATTTAAATTCAAATTTCCGAGAATATTCTTGAACGATGACTGACAAGCGTAGTTTCTCGACAGAAATTAATTTCTTTTCCTCTTCTTCTTCTCACAGGTTGGTTCTGTTGCTTCGAGGTTAATCCTCAATCTCTAATCTTGTTACCGGCTCTTGATGAAGAAATAACGCGTGACAGTGCTTCCATTTGCCACACTCTCGAAGATTCTCAAGCGAGAAGAAAGGATAAGAGTAGATGTGTGTCAGCAAAGATTCCCAATTCCTGACGAAAAGGAGAAGAAGGAGGGAACATACTCTGGTGACGAGTTACGAGGCATGTCGCATTCGATTTCACGCGGTCAGTTTTCTGGTAATTGGCAGGATGGCGTCGTACAACGGACCGTGAATTTAATCGAATACGACGAAAGATTATTCTCAAACCGGATGGGACAATGGGACGATACAAAGAAAGAGTCAATCGACGCGATATACGATATACTCGATCGACCAATAATGGACAGTCCTTCTACGTACATCGATGTAAGATTAACTTACATAATGTATGAATATTATGATGGAAGGTTTACGATTGAAACGATGAGTCATAGCCGAAGAATTTTCACCAAGTGTTAGAATTCGACAATCGACGCCACTTTTAACCTACACTTCTCGTGTCATCTATAAAATAAATTTCGTGATTGATAGACTGTACATGTTCAGGCGTTTGAAGGGAATTTAAAAGTACGAGAATTCATTCGCGTAATGTTCAAAAATATGTGCGATGAAAAATGTATAAAATATCCATATTCTACTGACCAACGAAAACGTTGGTAGTGTTTCATTGATAGAAAGGTGGCGCAGTAGCTAACGAGATTTAATTATTTATACCATTATAACAAACTATTACTAATGCATTCGTATAAATAATCTAATTATCGAGCGTTTGTACTTATAAATACATAATGATAATAAATTGTGTACAGATGGAATATTGCATTGTGGTATCTATCACGCAATAGATTGCATATGTTTATACAAATTTAGACTTTGAAAAATATCACTGCAGAAATAGAATCTAAGCGGAGATTTCTTCTATCGTGGAAGATATTATAAACAGTATTTCACGTCGCATGTTTCATGTATCTTTTTTCCTATTAGCCGCATTCTCTACATTTATGCGCCTTTCAATTTTCCATCTAACCAAGAAAAATGCCGATGGCGTTTCATTGATACAAAGAAGACGCAGTAACCAGTTGCGTCTTTGCGAATGAAGAAAACTCAATTCGCCAGGAAGACGTTAATCTGGCAAGGACTTCGGCTATGAATCAATCAGCTCTGGCAGAAGGTAATTCAAAAACTCGACGGCTAGTATCTTCGAGGCAAAAGCCGGACGAAGAATAGCGAAATTGACTCGTTAGTCTGCGGCGTGGACGAGGGCGCGCGCGCGTGCGCTCCAACTCGCTCGCTCGCGCGTCAAGCCGAGGCGTACATACAATACACACCGCGAGGAATTCGTGAGACTGTCAACCCACGCGAGACGCGCGGCAACGGGAAACGATGACGCTGGCTGATCTCAAAGGCATCCATCGATCGCGAGGCAGTCAACGGTTCGCGCAGTCCGACCGACTTTATGAGTTATAAGTCGGCCATCTTGCGAGAGCCATCGCATATTCACGTGCGCGCATATGCGATGCACTGGCAATATGTAAGTGCCACATTCTGTTCTGGTGCATACGTACAGTCTAATCTAAAAACTAGTCTGCCCGCCGGTCGTCACTTCCCTCGTTGCTAATAATTTTCAGCGGCCGAGGAAACTGCAGCGACTGCTACGGTTTCTTTCGCCAACATTTCGATTCTTCGATCATTCGGTATCGGAGCGTTCGACTTGAGAAAGTTGAATACAATTAGAACGGATGGAACACGAACGAACCACGTACCAGAGTGACTGTTTTACTCGTTGTTCTTTTCAAACGGAGAGAACATCTCTCGAACAATTGAAGCAATAAATTGTATTCAGCGTTTTATTAAGAACAGAACATCTCGTTCTTCGGCGCAAGAAACATCCTGCCTATACATATACGGGAATTTAATATAAAAAGGACTATAAAGGGCAATTTGAAAGATCGTAAGTCGATACTACGAGAGCCATTAAATTATCTAAAATGCTCTAAATTATATAGTAAGTATAATTGCGACTTCTCCATTCAACCGGTTGATACGACTATAAATAATGAAAAGAAAAGACCTCTCTTGCGTAACCGCACCGAGTTGCTAAGATAAGATCTATTTAAAATTCGAATTATTTAGATCAGGTTCAAAGTTGTCGGAATAAGAAGAAGAATCGTCGAGAAGGAAAAATTGCCAATTAGAGTGAGATGCAGTCATTTCGAATTAGAAGCGCTATTTAGATTATGCCCAAAGTTGTGAGCCAAGGAAGAAGAACTGCGCCAACTTCGATTATGGGACAACGAAATTGTACAAACAAATTTTACAAGCTCTCCTATTTGGCGTAAAATTGTACGAGACAAGTTTACACCCTACAATTCCCAATTTGTCAATTCGTCAATATCATCAGTTTCTAAATAATAGCGCAGGAGATCGGTTTAATAACAAAAGCAGTCGATTCTTTCTCGATCGATCAGAGTGGTTTCGCGGTAACCTCGTTTCACTTAAGAATCTATCGGAGAGAATAACCAGCCGTATAATCGATAAGCCCGGTTACGATAACAGAAACAATGAATCTCCATAGTTGAATTAATCTGACCAAGCTAATTTCACGTTAACGCCGAGTTTTCCTTTTTCTCTGACGGGCGATAAAACGACGTTAAAAGAGCCGAGGTCGTGAATACCATGCGTTTGAATAAAATTGATTTTCCGCCAAGTACGATCACGAATGCCAGCTAGTTACAGTTGTCAATTGTTCGTAGCCCAACCCCGAATTCGATGCCAACCAATCGTCCAACGTGCGACAGTTGCCTCGACTAACGATTTCGTCGAACACCGAGAGCGCCTTTAATTTCTCTTCAGCGAAGAGTGCGAAGTCCTGCCGCGAATAATAACGATTCGTGGAACCTGACGCGACCACCATCGATGCTCTTCCAAACCGATGGTATTTCGTGGGATCCTTGAAAATCGAGGATCCAACCGTTTTATCCTTTCGCTCTCTCTCTTTCTCTCTCTCTCTCTCTTTCTCTCTTCAGCTTCGAGCACCGCCCACGCGTTAATAGCCTCTAGCTGAAGCTTGTACGGCGAACGACAAGTTCTAGTTTGTTCTCGCAAGACGGTCGTTAACAACTGTTAACCTGCTTACTTCTAATTGCTCGCTAGGTGAGTCTTGGATAGAAATAAATGTACATGGTCGGAGAGACGTTTGCAAATAACGAGCTTGGCCTGTGATGGAGTTGCAGTTGTAATTCGATTAGGACATTTGTTAGGTCGCGGATGTTTATACGTTTATGGGAAATTCAAATGGTACACCGATAATAGATAAATTGAAATGCGTATCGTATATCGTACTAATATAATACGAATGGTATGCAAAAAAATTTGATTAAGAGATTTGTTAGCAGATTGTAGATATTTATAGGCTTGCGAGAAATTTAAATACTACACTGATATTAGGGAAATTGATATAGCTACGTGTCTCATATTTATAACAGTTGCATAGAGAACCTTTTTTTTTTTTTTTTTTTTTTTTTTAAAGAAAACTGTACATTGTAAGTTAAAAGAGCAAGATCAGCAGGAGGAAGACTTACCGTGAGGCTGATGACCAGTCGGAGGGTTCAGAAAGGTCGGCGGTAGCTGTCTGCTCACTGACTTGGCCAATTCTCCTCCCGCCAGCCCGTAGATCGCCAACAACTCCTGCATAGTCGATTCAGCGTACTCCCTCATTCCTTCGAAGGGTTTCCTCTCCTCGCACTCGGTCTCACCGTCACCATCCTGCCCTCGATCATCCTCGAACGGAGTATCGTCCAATCGTCCCGATTCGGTATCCAAAACGCCGCTTCCACTTTTCTCCGACGATTCTGAGTTCGGACTCCTGGCCTGTGGACGATCGATACATGTCACGTGAATGAAATGACGCGAATGAATTCCTATGCAAGTTATTTTGCGCATGTTAACCGACGTGCGATTCCACCAAGCACGCTAGACACCACTAGAAGTCGTCATAACGTTTGACGTTGCATCGAAATTTTCCCGTTGCACGCCGATAAGCGTTGTAAAAGTAAACACGAAATATTCCGTTGCGCGCGTATTATATAAACGGTTAATAATACAGCTAAGGAAATGGCACTTGAATAGAAATTTATCTCACGCTCTGAATATTACATGTAATTAGTTTCTAACCCTTAATTAGTACCGTTGATAATAACACATGTAACAGGTTGTGTTTTAATGTAAGGTTACTTAATTTCAGGTTGTTTAAATTTATATTTTGCATCCTATTTTGTTTCTCTTGTTCTTCGTTTTATTTTATCCCCTTCCTTGGGCAAGGAATTGGAACATTATTCATTGAACAGAAAATATTCCTAGACTATACGGATGCTTGTTTAATTATGAGAAATTTTCAGACATGAAAACATTCAAAATCAGATATTCGTTTATACGTGTTTAACGAGTGAAACAAATCCTTTATTTAGGTTCCATTTCTTTAGCTATGGTTATAAAAATATGAATTTGAATAAACATCCGCAGTCTTGATATGCTTCATGAAAAGCACAGCAGTCACATTGATTAATTCCGTAAATTAAAAAATAGAATAACGTTAGAAACGCTGTTTTCTAAATTTACCATTATTTAATCATCTTCGTGAAAATAATTTGTTTCTTGAGAATTCACTGTTAATCGTGTACTTAATTAATGAAAAGTAGAGTCAAGTCAATTTCGCTTTTAAGCCTGCTGCGTTCTTCGTATCATTTTCGCCTCAGCTAACGTTTTCCCGTTACCAAAATGTGTCTTAAGCGTAGAGTAGATACGAAACACCTGTCATCGATACGCATAAAATATGAATAGCCAAATATCAATAGCGTATGTATTAAACAAGAAACACTATAGAAGATACTCACCTCAGTACCAGGGGAGTAAAGTTTCTGAGATCTGAGCTGTTCCAGGATGAACTTATGCCTAAGTGAATCCCCACTGTCATCGTCAGCCTCGGAAGATGGTGGCCTGGTGGCAACGGACAGATCCATGGGGCTGACCTCGTTGTTGTTCAGCCTTTGTTTCGATCTATCCTCCGCTGGCAACAGCATCGTCTTCCTCTCGTATTCCAATATCTCACTGGAACTCTCCTCCAACGCTTCCAACTCATCGTCCTCCTTTTCAGATTCATCGGACACTTCCACCATCCGGCTGCTTATCGGCTTGAAGTTCTTGCGTTTGTTACGCGGCTTTTGGATGCTCGTAATCTGCAGCTGGGCCTGGCCCTCGTACTGGGAGTCGCTGTCCTGATCGGCGGGCCC